TTTTAGGACTTTTGAGACTTTCAAGACTTTCAAGACTTTTAATACTTTCAAAAATTTCTGGATTTTTAGAAGTTTCGAGACTTCTTGGACCTTTTAGACTTTTAAAGCTTTCAAGACTTTTGGGACTTTCAAGACTTCCAAGACTTTTCTAAGTCTTTTAAGGCTTTCAAGACTTTTAATACTACCAAAAATTTCTGAATTTTTTGAAGTTTCGAGACTTCTTGGACCTTTTAGACTTTTAAAGCTTTCAAGACTTTTGGGTCTTTCAAGACTTCCAACACTTTTCTAAGTCTTTTAAGGCTTTCGAGACTTTTATAAGACTTTCAAGACTTTTAATACTTTTAAGCTTTTCAAGGTTTTTAAGGTTTTTAAGACTTTCAAACCATTCGAGACTTTGAAGGCTTTCAAGACTTTCAAGACTTTTAAGCCATTCAAAGTTTTTAAGACTTTCAAGCCATTCGAGAGTTTTAAGGCTTTCAAGACTTTCAAGACTTTCAAGACTTTTAATACTTTCAAAAATTTCTGGATTTTTAGAAGTTTCGAGACTTCTTAGACCTTTTAGACTTTTAAAGCTTTCAAGACTTTTGGGACATTTAAGGATTCCAAGACTTTCTTAAGTCTTTTAAGGCTTTCGAGACTTTTAGGACTTTCAAGACTTTCAAGACTTTTAATACTTTCAACAATTTCTGGATTTTTAGGAGTTTCGAGACTTTCCAGTCTTTTAAGGCTTTCGAGATTTTTATAAGACTTTCAATACTTTTAGGACTTTGAAGGTTTTTTGGGCTTTCAAAACTTTCAAGCCATTCAAGACATACAAGACTTTTGAGACTTTCAAGACTTTTATAAGACTTCCCATACTTTTAAGCCTTTCAAGGTTTTTAAGATTTTTAAGACTTTCAAGCCATTCGAGACTTTGGAGGCTTTCAAGACTTTCAAGACTTTTATAATACTTTCAATACTTTTAAGCCTTTCAAGGTTTTTAAGGCTTTTCAGACTTTCAAGCCATTCAAGATTTTTAAGGCTTTCAAGACTTTCAAGACTTTTATGGAATTTTCAATACTTTTATGCCTTTCAAAGTTTTTAAGGCTTTTAAGACTTTCAAGCCATTCAAGGTTTATAAGGCTTTCAAGCCATTCGAGACTTTTAAGGCTTTCAAAACTTTTTTTTATAAGACTTTCCATACTTTTAAGCCATTCCAGATTTTTAAGGCTTTCAAGACTTTCAAGTCATTCAAGATTTTTAAGGTTTTCAAGACTTTCATGAAATGGCTTTTAAGACTTTTATGAAACTTTCAATACTTTTAAGCCTTTCATGGTTGTTAAGGTTTTTAAGATTTTCAAGCCATTCATGGCTTTTATGGCTTTCAAGACTTTTATAAGACTCTTAATACTTTTAAGGCTTTCAAGCTTTTTAAGATTTTCAAGCCATTCTAGACTTTCAAGACTTTCACAACTTTTAAGGCTCATAAAACCTTCAATCTTCCAAAAATGCCAAGAACATCAAAACATTCAACAATTTCAAGACTTTCAACACTTTTAATACTCCCAAGACTCTTAACACATTAAAGATTCCCAAGTACATAACACAATTACGTACATAACAAAATACCAAGCTATACTATCCTCATTTCTCACCCCTTAACTCCACGATATTTACTTCAAAACCATCAAAAAAAAAAGAAAAAAGAAAACTCCATCCACTAAAAATCACAGACTTCCTATTCCCAAAGAAATCTCCGACCCAGATTCCGAATAGTCCGACCACCTGTACCTCCGCGCGCGCGCGCGCTACCTGTTATTCCAATGCGGCCGACGTGGCCACGGGCCGTCGAAAAGTCGCGTTTCTCGGAAGCCGGGGATAAAATGCGGGCCGTGTAATACGTCGAAAAGAGTCTCTCGGGCCGCGTTATTTTCGGCGCGAGGCGGCCGGAACGAGCATTTATTTTTACGCGGAAAAAGGAAAGGACGCGGTAACGGAGTACGCGCGCGTCTTTTTCTCCCCGGAGCCTTTTCGTCTCGTTCCCGTCTTCCCGTCTTTTTTCCGCCCCGCCCCCCTCCCGCGGCCGGAAGAAGAGGAAGAGGACGGTGACACGCGGCGTCACATTCAAACGAGGCGACGGCCTTGCGAGAACGGCGGGCACGGAGAGGCGCGGGCACGCGGTTCTTTTTTTCCTTCCCCCGCGGCTGGTTCGCGGCCTACCCCCACCCTCCCCGCGGGCAGCGGCGGCTCGCCTTTCTTCTTTTCCACCGTCTCATCGTCGTCTCGCCGATTTTTCAGCGGCCGCGGAGAACGCGCGGTCGCTCGCCGGGTGATTCAGAGCCGCGGCGATTAATGCCCCTCGGCTCGCCGCTGGCGGAGAGCCTTTCCGTTCCGTTCCGTTCCGTTCATTCGTTCGTTCGTTCGTTCGTTCGTTCATTCATTCATTCCGCGGTTTCACTTTTATTCCGTTCCCGGATAAGGAGAGGGATCGCGCGTTGTAGACAGCGCGCGCGCGCGCGCGTGCACGCCGCGAGAATCGGCCGAACGAAATCGAAAGCTGTTCTCAGGAACGGTTTAGACTCGCTGCGGGGGTTACGCGGCGGGTAAATCTTACGGCGTCGGAGCACCGGTCCGATGAAACGGATTGTTTTAACGGTCGTTCATTTATTTATTTGGTCGAGTTTTAGTTGAATTGTTTATTTTGAAAGTGGCATAAGTCACTTTACCGTAATGAAAAAAGTGGTGATTTTTTAATGTTTATGCGGAATTATTTACACTGAGAAATATATATCAGTATCCTGAGATAACAAATACAAGTAAATCTTCTCGAAAGTTAGCATCCATATTTTTAAACGTGTTTAAACGCAAACCTTTAAATATATCGACTTAAAAACAAAGTGACTTATGCCACTTTCAAAATAAACGGCTGGTTTATTAACCCTTTGCATTCCGATGGTGATTCCAGTGGCACCGTTAACAATTTTTACATCGTTTCTGACGAGAATGTTTGCGGTGTTACAATTTAGATCTTGTAAATTGTTAAGAATATAATGTATCAGCAAATGGGGTTAATTTATAATATTTGAGAAGTTTAGATAATGTGAAGATAATTGTAGAGATTGTAAATGGGTATCGTAGCTTAATTAATTTATTTGTTATTTATTTCATCGATGATTCAAACCAGACGGTTTGTTTAGCAAAGACATTGTTGTTACATTTACATATGTTCGATATTAATTAGTGTTAATTTCTATATTCTTGGGGAACATTGTTCGCGAAAATTATAAATTATTCGTTGTCCGTTATATTTTTGTTATTTTTATTGTTGTTAATAGGTGATTCGAATTTAGTGGAACACATAATTTGTTTAAGTGATTATTAATTGAAAATTTTATAATTATAGATTGTTACAAATTAGTTACTACTCGTGATTGATATAACTAATTTATAATAGCTTGTAATAATTAATGTGTTATACATTGTTTACGATAATTACGAGTTGTAACTAATTTATGGTAATCTATAATAAGTAGCGAGTTATAAATTATTTACGATAATTACGAGTTGTAACTAATTTATGGTAATCTATAATAAGTAACGAGTTGTAACTAATTTATAATAATCCATAAGAAGTAATGAACTATAAATTACTTACAACAATTACGATTTATAACAAATTCGTAATAACCTCTCTCGTAAGCTATTACAACAAATTTCTAATAACTTATAATAACTAACGAGTTATAATCGTTAATTATCAATCAGATGACTGTTTGCACCAACTTAAGGTCTGCTTAAGGGATGATCATTTTTCATCCGTGTAAGAAAAAGTGCCATAAATATTATTTCTGTTTCACCGTTCAAGATATATTCATTTATACAATACCGTTAAATAATACATTCAGATACACTAATATACATAAAAAAAAATTTACAAAAGAGGAAAATTATTAGAACGAATAGAAATACAATTGTCAAATTCTGCGGACATTTGTTGACCTATCCTTAAGCATGCCAAGGTTAATTCGCAACGTTAACCTATTGCAGTCGAGCGACGACGCCAAAGTACCGTTAAAAATTGTCGCATCGCGTTACAGAATAATTTTAACATCATCAAATTTGTTCACGTTTGAAAGAAAAAAGAAAGTCTGTTAAAAACGTAACTGTTGCACGAGTTACAATACAGTAATATCTCTCCAATTGACGCTCAAGATTGTCCACAAAAATGGACAATTTTGGAACAGGAGATACGATTGTTCAAGCCTTGTAGCTCGTTTTTTTTTATGTTTATCGATTCTCAACAACTATAAAAACGAGCTGCGAGGCTCGAATAATCGTATCTCCTCTTCCCAGATTGTCCATTTTTGTTCCCAAGCTGAGCGTCAATTAGAGAGAATTTACTGCACAATAATGTCTCTCTAATTGACGCTTAGATCGTCCACAAAAGTGGACAATTTTGGAAAAGGAGATACGATTGTTCGAACCTTGTGGTTCGTTTTTATAGTTATTGGCAATTAGTAACTATAAAAACGAGCTGCAAGGCTCGAATAATCGTTTCCCAAATTGTCCATTTTCGTGGACAATCGGAGCGTCAGTAAGGGAGACATTACTGTACAATAATGTCTCCCTTACTGACGCTCAGATTGTCCACGAAAATGGACAATTTTGGAAGAGGAGATACGATTATTCGAGCCTTGCGGTTTATTTTTATAGTTATAAATTGTCCGCAATTATAAAAACGAGCCGCAAGGCTCGAATAATCATATCTCTACTTCCCAAATTATCCATTTTAGTGGACAATCCGAGCGTCAGTAAGGGAGACATTACAGTATCCAATTTCGTGCGCATAAAATGCACCGGGTTGTACGAAATCGAAATATTCGAAAATTACATGAGAAAAAAGAGGACCTCTCGATCTCGAGTTAAAATGTCACCGACTGCAAAAGGGTTAACGTTGCCAGCGAAATAATTCACGAATGCGGCAAGATAATAATTCGAACACTGAATTGAATCTGTTACAGAGTGCACGTTCGGCAAGCAGATACGGGAACTGGGCTCCACCTGGTTCGCGGATTTGGGCCCGCCCTTCGGAGTCATGTACTGCATCAAATGCGAATGCATTCCGGTACGTGTTAAAGTGGGTGTGCCATCGCGCGGTCGCGCGTGTCCGTGTGCGCGGGGCACGCGTGTGCCTCGCTCTCGGCCGGCCTGTATTCGTCTGTGTCCGACCTTTGACCCTTCCAAGGCTCGCGCCGCGGAACCGCCACGTACAACATTACGTTTCTATGGAGCGCGGACCGACCTGACGCGACTTTTACGGAATTCGAGCCGACTAGTCCCTAGTAGAAACACCCTGCGCCGCCGCCGCTGCCGTTGGTACAGCGAGCTACATACAGCCGAAGCATTCCTGCTCGCGCACAATCTACAACCATAATCGTAGAACACATTATCGTGAATTCGATTACTGGGAACCTTCGACTATTTTTGCTCGCGAGCTTTAAGCGAGCTTTCTCTAGTTTTTGAAGCGATTCGAGGTTCGAGACATTTTTGACAAGTAGTTTTTTTGCGAAACAAGATTATACAGTAATGTCTCCCTAACTGACGCTTAGATCGCGCACAATCTGCAACCATAATCGTAAAACGCGTTATCGTGAATTCAATTACTGCAAAACTCCTATTTTTGCTCGCGAGCTTTAACCTTTTAGGTACGGCTGAATTCTGCGCGAGGCTATTCTTCTCTGGACGGCAGAGTCTGATATGTACTGTACAGAGTCTGATACTGTATATTCTGTGTGTATATACAGGGTGTCCCAAAAATGTCTCGCAATCCGAAAGTGGCGGGTTCTACAAGCCATTTGAAGCAACTTTTTCCTTTACAAAAATTTTCTCCGAGGCACCGTTAATGAGTTATTAACGAAAAACTGTGACCAATGAGAGGCGAGATCAGCTGCCGCGAGGTGGCCGAGCCAGCGGCGCCAGCGGTCGAGCGGTCGAATCTCAGCTCAGCTGGCGCGAGGCGACCGAGCCAATGAGCGGAACTGGGCTTCGTGCGCTGGTCGGCTGGGCCGCCTCGCGTCAGCCGTACTCGATTCTTATTGGTCACTGTTTTTCGTTAATAACTCGTTAACGGTGCCTCGGAGAAAATTTTTGTAAAGGAAGAAGTTGCTTCAAATGATCCGTGGAACCCGCCATTTACGGATTGCGAGACATTTTTGGGACACCCTGTAGACTGTTGTAAATCGATGTGAAGACAAAAGAAGTGTGAAACAATGCATATGAAGACGATTATTTGGTTCAAACGATGAACGAGTGAACTACTAGAGCAAGCCACTATAGTGGCGCGTCGTGCCTAAAAGGTTAAGCGAGCTTTCTCTAGTTTTTAAAGTGATTCGAGGTTTCAGATATTTTCGATAAGTTGTTTTTTTGCGAAAGGAGATTATGCATTAAAAAGTTAAATAAAAAGTTAAATTTTAAGAAACGATATTGCATTTGCGAATATGTTGTATGCAATCGTTAGTACGATTGTTAAAAAATGGGAGAAATTTTTGATTCAACATTCATATTACAAACATTTCTGTTAGTATATTAATGTATTAATAATTAATTCTATTATGAATGATAAATGATGGACGACCTTTATTTAGCACGAGTTTCGAATTTTTCAATATTTCACCCTTTCTTATCGACAAGCTTTTTGCGAAACGAGATTATTATTATATATATTAATATATTATATTATTTTATTATATTTTATTATATATAATAATTAATATTAATTTTTTATTTAAATTAAATTTTTTAAAATTAATATTAAATTAATATCATATAATATATTATTTTATTATATTATTATATTTATTAATATAAAAGTTCAATTTTGACAAACGATGTTGCATTTTAGAGCACATTGCATGCAATCGTTAATTCGATTATTAAAAATATGCGGGAAATCTCTGCCCTTTAAATTGACCTTTATTTCGTTAGCGTTCGCCGTGATTTAACATTTGAAACTTTTCGAATAAAATAGTTCTTTAGCGAAACGAGATTGTGCATTAAAAAGTCGAACATAAAAATTCAATTAAGAAAGACAATACTACATTTTTAATCAAATTCTATGCAATCGTTAATTCAATTATTAAAAAAATGTGGGAAATCTCCGCCCTTTAAATCGACCTTTATTTCGTTCGCATTCGCCGTGATTTGACATTTGAAACTTTTCGAATAAAATAGTTGTTTGATTGTGCATTAAAAAGTCGAAATAAATTCAATTATTAAAAATATGCGGAAAATCCCTCCCCTTTAATATAACCTTTATTTCGTTCACATTTCGAATGCTTTGCCATTTCACCCTTTCTGAACAACAATGTTTTGTCGTGAATCAAGCTGGTGCACAAACAATCTAAATACAAGAATTAAATTAAAATTATAAATATTATCGTCGTCAATTAAATCATCGATTGCTTATATAGCCACAGATTTCGCCGGCGGCGTGCGTCGACGAAAACGGAGCACCCCGTAGAGATAAACGTCGCGCAATCGCGGTTTCACGAGCCCGAGATTTCGAGGAAAGAATTGTTCCACGGTCCCCGGCGCGATATAATCCGATCGCCATCGATGTTTTCTCGGATCGTTGTTTCCGAGAAGGTCGCGACGGTGGCATTGCCCTTTGGAGAGCGCTGTATAGATCGGCGTAACGCGCCGAGCACGGACTAAATCTCGATCTGGGTGACGTGACCCACGAAGACTTGACGTGCTTTCTAATCCCATTCCTGGTTCGAGACAGACTGGCGTCCGCTTCTGAGTTTGTCTAGGCACCGGCGCGTACGGGCGTGTGCGTGTGCGCGCGTGTGCCGCGATCGTTCTACGGGCTGATCGCGACGACGCGTCATGCCCCACGTCCTTTAACCCCTTAATGCACAATTTAAAAAAAAAAACCGACCAAAAAAAAATCAATTTTTTTTATCTAAGAAAATACATATTTGGACCTTAATTTCAATAAATATGTAAAAAAAATGCAAAAATTACTAAAAATTCAATAAAAATAGTGGATAAATAATTATAGTGAATATTGAATCGCATTGCAGATCGAATTTTGTACACATCGTACTGTTTTTCAATTACCAGTTACTATTTTAAAGGGGAAGGAGGAGACGAAAAAAAAAACTGAAAAATATTTAATTTTACCTAAATTTGTAATAATATAATAATAATATTTATTAGCTGAAAAATATATAATAAACTAAAACTATTCAAAATTTTCTTTTGTATGGTAAATTTCAAAACAAGGTGCAGCACATAGCCCAACATTCCTTATTTCAACATTAGAAAACATACCTTTTATACACTAAAAATCCAATTTACTCTCTACAAAAATACACCATAAAACAAAAACGTTTTTATATGTTGACACTAATAATATTTGTAAAAAATAAAAAACAATTGTCTTTGAAGAAATTCACTTTGATAACGTCTACTTTACTTC